ATGGTGGAAATCATGAGCTTCAGGTGATGGGAAGAAAGGAAAGTGGTAACCAGAATGGGCGTTCAAAGTTGAAAGGATAGCAAGTGTAAACCACAGCCAGCAGGTGGCAGTGTGACTTCCCATACACAGAACTCCAAGGAATGGTGGCAAAACATTTGAGAAGATGTGCTCCACCGGGTGACAATAAATTGCAGTTATTGCAATTGGAGCTGTCCACTCATGATGTTGTTTATGAATGTATTTGTAGAAGCGAGGATGGTGAAGCAGCCTTCATTAAATACATGAAGTGTTGGTGAGAGTGAATTAAAAATACAAGTTTCACAATATACATATATATCTGAAAATCTATGGCAAATGTTTAATAGCTTCATGTGCTTTTGTTAGTAAACAATCCTTAAAATGAACTTTTCAAAATCTGACTTGGTCAGATCAAGTAAATTAACTCTGTATACTTTTATTTCTATTTTCTCTGATCATAAGTATTACTGTATAACACTGTCATACATTTTTTTGATAAAAGACAAAGCTGAACCAAATCTTATCCATAACATAAATTCATGAAACACACTGCTGACTATCACAATCACCAGTTACACCTCTTTCCTGCCCAGATGGGTGCAGTCCACCTTGAGAACAAGATTGCATGACTGAATTAAAAAATATTTTGGAAATAAACTTATGTTTTTTTTCCCATTTAGAAAAATACTTCAGAGTTGTAATTTGTACAATCAAAAAGTTTTATTTATTTAATTCTATGCATAAAAAAACAATAAAAATTGCATATTTTGATTCAGGGTTGACTTCAATGTGCTCTCAACAAAATCAACAGTGCTTGCAAATTTTCAGAAGCTTTTCTGAGCATGATATGACACCTGTAGCCCCTTACGATGAAAATCATAATAGTTTTGAGCAAAATAACATTAATTTGACTTTTAACTTGAATAAAAGTGTCATTTTTTATGAATTTTTAGCCAATCACTGGTTCTCAACATCAGTATTGGTTGATGATCTAAATATATCATGAAAGCTCTATTCTGTTACTCTCAACTGCAAACGCCGAAAAGGCTTTAAATACAGTGGGGATTTGCATTGAAATCATAAACAATAGTGATAAAAACTCAGCTTGGCCATAGTTGATCGAAGAAAAAGTGTCTGTGAACAATTTCCTCTATAATAAAAGTCATTTTTTTAAAGCTTGCATAAAGCAAGCTTTATCAATTTATAAATTATTTGAATCATGATAAAGTACAATAAGAAACACTTCCTTCTGGAATAATATGAGGTAGACATAGTTTAAAAATTTGCACTCTAACACGTGAAATTATTTTAGTCACAGCCTAAGGAATTGCTGAAATGGGCACAGAAATCACTAAAATGAAATGTAAAGAAAATTATACAAGTGGCTAAAAAACTGGTTTGAAACTTTAAGTAGAAGTCTAAAGATACAGCTTTTGAGTGGGTAGTTTATTTTTATTTAACTTTTTACAATGTTTTATTTAGAGAAGCTATCTAATCAGTAAAGAGTAATTCTGAATTTTCTAACTACTTTATCCAGTAGTTTGTTTTTGAAGCAATTTAGCAAACAGTACAACAGGTGCATCTTAGAGTTACAATAAATTGCTCAGTCTCACTTTGTTCTGGATAAATAGTAGAGACGTGTATTACTTATGTTGACTTTTGTAAACAACTCTAATCATTTGCAACTCATCACTAAGTTATTTTTTACTCACAAGACAGTAAAGACTCACTGATGGAAATGATAAATTTTATAACATATGATCTTTCAGAAAGATGCTACAAGAAGACACACCCCAGTGGTTATTTACCAACCTTCATGATGCACCCCAGTGGTTATTTACCAACCTTCATGATGCACCCCAGTGATTATTTTCTAACCTTCATGACACACCCCAGTGATTATTTACCAACCTTCATGATGCACCCTAGAGGTTATTTACCAACCTTCATGATGCACCCCAGTGGTTATTTACCAACCTTCATGATGCACCCCAGTGATTATTTTCTAACCTTCATGACACACCCCAGTGATTATTTACCAACCTTCATGACACACCCCAGTGGTTATTTTCTAACCTTTATGACACACCCCAGTGGTTATTTTCTAACCTTTATGACACATCCTAATGGTAATTATGTAACCTTTACAATAGGTCCTAAAGCTTAAATTCTTCTCTTCATCTCAAAAGGTATAATCAAGTAAAGTACGTACTCCAGGTAAACAGTGAAACTGTACTCTTACATTTATAGCAATCTGTCTTTACCTGTGGGAGTAATAAAAGGCCACTTCTTCCACTAATATAAAAACACTAAGCTCTAGTAGAACCCATTGAAAAGTAGGAAGTTCCTTGCCAGTGGAGTGTCCTCTTAGATTCATGAAGTAATGGCCAACAATCAAGAAAGGTATCCCCATTATGATCTGATTTACGAGGACCTGCTTGATAACTTTTGTGACTTTCGGGTGTTGAACCTAACACAAAATGAAAATATGTTAGTTACACAGAATTTAGTTTACCTACTAGATGTAATATTACTTAAAACAAATTAAATACAATGCTTTACTGATAAATTTAATGATTTTTATTGACACAGAAGTTCAACTCTTTGAAAAATTAGTTTCATATTATACACATTTTTCCATTTGGTTTTGTTATGATTAATAACTTTTGTTTTCTTCAGGCTCTTCATATTTTTATATCATAATCTTCTGTAAATGTTTTGTAATTCATTGTCCTATAATTACTTTTGTATTTAATTTATACAGCAAACATTGTATTCTCCATTTCCTTATGTCCAAGTTTTCTCAATAAATCTTCAGGCCAAATCTTTACTCTGAATGATCAGGTAATACAATAAATTAAATAATCCTTATTATGTTTTTCTGTACAAAAAACACTTTCGGTTCTACCTTATTAAAGTTTATTTCAAACTGTTAATCTTCTTATGTTTTCTAAGTGTACGTACAGCATAGAAACAAAACAATAACAAAGGTTTATAGTTTTATAAATTATAAACAGCAACTACCTGTAGAATGAAATATGATATGTTTAGCTACAAATATCATAGTATACTCAATACTAAAATGATTTAAACAGAAGGAACTACGGACAATGGCTAAAAGTACCAAGTGTAGTGCTAAACATGTTAGGGGATGTCCAGATGGGGCTCTCCAGCTAAAAGTTTCTAAATTTCAAGTTGAAATCCTACAGATACTTCATTTCTACATCTACAAAACAAGACTAATAAATTGTATAAACCAGTTAATATAAAACATAGTTAAAGTACAGTAATATTTAAATATGAAAATTTAAAAATTATTTTTTCCTTATTAATGTTCTCAATACAGAAATTTTCACATGGAAATTTTGGTTCACATTTTATTTCAAGCATGAAAAACAAACAATCTGTAACCTTAGTGATCTAACACTATTACTGATTTGTCGACATCAAAATACCTTTATGTCTTGAGGTAGGTTTTAGATACATGTACATAGTATATATTACAAAGTGGCCTGGCCAAAGTAAACAAGAAATGAACTCATGGATTTCTGTACAGAGACCTTAGTCTTGCAACTATCAATTTCAAGCAAGTGATTGTTAACTGATCATGTCCAATTAGTCCAGCCTTCATACCTTTACAGTTTGAATCAAAAGACTTTAATCAGAGCAGCTTGTTTGTATGGCTGATCATAAGCTGTTGCTTGTTATACCTTTGAAGACAAACAGTAAGTGTCAATCATTCCCAGTTTTATACTACTGGATGTCTACTTGAATTTGTAGTTATTACATGACAATCACACATAGTTGTGTTAAATATTTCAAAGCTTCAATCTCACAATTTGACACCCAAGAGTCTTTCTTCTCTCAATTTAATAGGCACATTTTTAGTGACTTTTGTTGTTTATTGGGGTGTTGGAGGATTATACACTATTGTGGACTTGACTGGAAAGCCTGCCTTTCTTCTGAGATATAAAATCCAGGATAATGTGCCTTATCCTGTAAGTGTTGAGGTTTGGTTTTTATTGTGTTTTCATTAAATTAAGTATTCTTGTTTAGACATGGTTCATTGTTTTCTTAAAATCTCAAGAACTGATACTTCTTGCATCATGTTTTCTGTTACATAAGGAGAACAAAAACTTATGTAGACTTTGTATCTCTATATATTTGTGTTTTTAACTGTGAAGAAGAAGGTTATATGTAAAAAATACAAAATTCCTTGATATTCCTAATACGTTGAACCATTTTCATCATAAGATTTCAGAACTGGGGATTCTTAAATCCCTGATCTGAATTCCTTTTGATCTGAGTGTATGAATATTTTGTGTGATGCCTTCCAAAAATCAACATATTTTTGGTGGTATAACACCACCTACAAAGTACCAAACCATATCACAATATTGGTGTTAGTATCACACTACCTACAAAGTACCAAACCATATCACAATATAGGTGTTAGTATCACACTACCTACAAAATGCCAAACCATATCACAAGATAATACTTGTACATTCAATCTCACTATGACTTTATATCGACTGTGATTTGCATAATAAAATTCACATTCAAAAATGTATACCAACTACCTTGAACTCGGTTATTAATACTTTATATACAACTTTGTTAATTATTCCAAAAGATTCTATAAAAGTTAATGTTGTTAAATATTGTGTTTTGTCTGTGATGATAATTCCCCTGATAGTAATCAGACTTTACCTTGACTTTTCTGTGATCCCTAACTTCCTACGGAGCAGTATCCAGCAATAATCATGAATCCCTTAAAAAAAATCACAGCATACGGTGTACCACTTTTGGAAACAGTTTTCACCCTCACACCAGCAGAAACCGACACAAGAGTTGCTACATATATCAAGGTACACATGTTTCATCAAATATTACCATATATTTTCATTTTTCCCCAGCTGGCTGCTATCGTACAACTGGTCCTCCTTCCCTGGAAATATTGTGGAAGCAGCTTGTGTAATATACATGACTTGTGTCAGGAGGATTCATTATGTTGGTTATTGTTGTTTGGTACAAGTGGACAGTTTGTTTACTACATAAATAAAAACTTCCAATCAGAATAAGTTATATAATTAGAGCAAAATTAAAAATCAACCTGACCATCATTATAGCTAATTAAATATATCGTTTTTATAAGTTTTATACTTATAAAATAAATATTAGAATATGTTGTTTTATCAGTTGGTTACCCTTGCTGTCAACAATACTTTCAGCCAGATCTCTCTCTAGATGGTCCTGGTGCCCAATTTGATCCATCTTCCTATGCCATTAAGTATAAGGGATATCCTGATCTTGAAATATAAGGTCCAGAACATTGGTCTGATAGTAATCAGACTTTACCTTGACTATTCTGTGTGGTACATAAGGTCCAGAACATTGGTGTAACCTGTGAGTGTGTAGGCTACTTTATTTATGTATATGGTAAGTAACCTGTGAGTGTGTAGGCTGATTTATTTATGTATATGGTAAACAACCTATAAGTGTGTAGGCTGATTTATTTATGTATATGGTAAACAACCTGTGAGTGTGTAGGCTACCTTATTTATGTAGATGGTAAACAACCTATGAGTGTGTAGGCTGATTTATTTCTTTGTGTGGTAGATCCTATGTGATGGCAATTTTACACTAAACTTGAGCAGTTTTTCTAATTATGGAAACTACTTTTAAACTCATTTTGTGGTAATTCTATATGTATGTAAATACAGACACACACATGTACAAACTACCATTAATCTGTGGTAGGCTTTCATATTTATCTATATAAAGAGTATTTAGTATGTTATATTAAAACTTTTTTGAAGTCTTACCATGTTACAGTTCATATTGCCAGTTTCTGGTCATTCTCTTTCTGATAACCATGCATCTTAGCAATAGCCCTACAGCACAGTTTCTAATGTAAAATGTTCTGTCTTAAAACAGCCATGTCCGAAGCACACTACTCCTCTTTGTTTTCAATACTCCATCTAGTGTACTGGAAGGTGACTGTTTCCCAAAGCCCATTTCAACAGTCCATTCACATAGGAATTCACAGGTGCTATGTTGGCAACTTGACTGGTATGTGTTCTTGTGGAATAGAATGAATATGCATCTCATTCTTCAATGCCTTGAGGTATGCAACAATTCAATAAAGTTGACTGGAAGCCTTATCTCTGTGAACCAATACCCTGTTAGTTTATTTTTGGACTAAGCTGGTTTTTCTGTGTGGTATTTTACCATATACATAAATAAAGTAGCCTACACACTCACAGGTTACTTACCATATAAATAAATAAGGCAGCCTACACACTCACAGGTTACTTACCATATAAATAAATAAATAAAGCAACCTACACACTCACACAC